AGTGGATCTGGTCTGGAGAGTGTAACAAGTTCACAGAAACACACACGCACGCACACAGGGGCTGGAAGAGGTATATGTTGAGTGTTTTGCAAAGCAAAGGTCCACATTTGTTGAATGAATGAATATATGAATACATGAATGAATGCACAAAGAATGAAGGAGGAGGCAGCCAACCACAGTGTCCATTGGTGGCAGCCTGGATGAAGCTTTTAAGCCTGAATGTGGCCGTGTGGCACACAACAAAGGGTTGCCCAGAGTTGGAGTGAAGGGTGGGCTGGTGGGTGGGTGTCTGTGATGGGCCGTTTGTGGAGGGAGCAGTCGCCTCTCCATGACACCAACCCACCTTCTGAAGGTCCAGGACCCCAGCTGCCCTTTCCCAGAAAGTGTCTTATTTCCTCTCCCTCCTGTCTCCCAGAACCAGCCCCGAGGAAGCACAGACATTTCAGAGCCTTCCCAGGCGTGGGTGAGGAGGGGGCTTAGCGCTGACCGTGGGCAGGAGAGGACAGATGGTCACTTCAGGCGCCTCTTACAGAAAACTGAGGCCGAGACAGGAGCACACCTTGCAGACCATGGGGCAGGGCTGGTGGTCTCCAAACAAAGGCTACTACCCAGCACAGCTCGGCCCCACAGCAGTGCAGGCCTGGGTGTGTGCCTGGGTGTGTGTCAGGACGGAGCAGGATAACCCACTTCTCGGAGTGGGGGGTGGGGGGGGCAGGACGCTGTTGCTCCGGTGACAGAATGGGGACCAGCTGAGTCACAAGAGGACAGAGAGCCTTTCCAAGCCTCTCTGATGTGCTCAGAGGTGACCTCCTTTCATTTAATCCTTCAAGAGCCTTGAAAGGCCAGAGGTCATTGACCCATGTTTAAACTGAGGTTTAAAGAGCTTGGTAACTTACAGTAAGTCACACAGCTAAGACGTGGCAGTGGCAGCACTTGAACTGAGGAGGACTTGGACTCAGGTCTAGCTGACCCCGAGTCAAGTGCTCTACCCACCAACCCACAAAGATCCCTCCCACACCCCAGGTCTTTGCCACCTGCCTCGCCTGGATCCCTCTTCCCAAGCCTCCCATTGGCCCCAGCGGGGGCAGCTCAGCTGGTTGGACCGTCCTCCCTCTAGGGCCAAGCTTGGGGATTTGATTCTAGTCAGGGCACATACAGCGAATACAGAAATAAGTGGAACAACAGATCGATGTCTCTCTCTCTCTTCCCCTTCCTCTCTAAGATCCATCCATCAATCAATAAACTTTAAAAATAAAGAGCCCTCCCCCCCCGCTTTTAGTATCCCACCTTTAGAGTCTTCATCCTTATTTCTTGACTCATTTAGATGCCTCTCCCACCCCAAGGTTAGCTACTAGAGCGGGAACTTTGCATTGCACTTAGGCATCCCTGGGCCTATATAGAAAGTCAGCCAATATTGGATGAATGAATGGATGAGTGAATGAACGGGCTGACGTTCAGCTTCCAAAGCCACAGTCGGTGAAGGGTGGGGGCTTCCAGGCATGTTCCTTAGCAGAGCAGTTGTTCACAGCGGACCCTTTGTTCTCAGAAGAGAGGGGCGCAGACGTCCGTCTGGCCCCAGAGGCTGTTCTCCCCCAGACCTGCCCTGCAGAGTCCCAGGGAAGCCCCCAGAGGTGGGAAGGCCTCCCACCTGCTCCCCGGAATTCGTCTCCTAAACTGATTTGTCAGCACCAGGAAGTGACATGACAGCTTTCCTCACGAAAGGGAAACTCCTCCGCGTTACCATGGGGATGGAACCCATTGGCTAATCACAGAGA